GCGAGAGGCGTGCCGTGAGTGGGGCTTCTGGTATAGCTACGACTAAAGGGAGGCAGTGGGGGAGAGGGGAGAGGGGAAGGATGAGGGAGGAGGAACAGGGGCTACTGGTGGGGCGATGACCTGAGGAGGCGACGGGGGACGCGGAAGAGAGTCTTCTTCAGTTTTTAGCTTTAGACTCTGACTTTTGAAGCACTGGTACCTGTGCCACTGTGACACTGAGAGGCGAAACGCCCCTCCCCCCTTGGAGCCTATACCGGTACGTGGAATTTGTGATGGGAAATTTTGCAGTTTAGAAACCAAGCAGCACATCGACTATTTTTGCACACACTAAAGTGTAAAACAGTGGAAATCCTTAGCAAGTTAACGTTTTTTGGACGGAATTTCTCAAAACGTATGATCGCACCTGCCAACCTGGTGCATGCAGCAGCTATTCATTTGCATAAGCTCACAGATGAAGAATGGCTGTGTTTCTTTTTTGAGCATTTCGTAATGCGAAGAGAACGAAAAAACCGGATGTCTGTTTTGCAGCAACACGAAGTGCACTGTTTTGTAAATTATCAGCTGCAGCAATGAACAGGGCTAGTGGCGTTAGAAGCCTTTCGTGCAGCACGTCCAGCATATTGGTCAGTGTGTGTCCATTAAATGAGTGTGTCGGTCATTAGAAATTACTCAGATCTGAGTTGTGAAATCCTTTCTGTATAAGTAGCGTTGACAAATTCCGCTTATCGGAAGATGCGTTTCAGAAGGCTAACACGGCCAAGCATTTTCACTATAAACTCTTGCAGATGCCCATTTTGAGAATGACCATTACCCACAGAAATATGCAATGAACTTCCAATCGACTATACGCACGAAAAGCGCGAAAATTTTGGTTCCTGATTTGTTTCATCCCGAACAATAATATCAGCCACGCATTCATAAAGGAAGCAACCGTATTTGAAAGCTAATTTCAAACCATCACCAGTGTGCTTCATACAGTTAACTAGAATTGCACAAATTCGAGTCCCCAGCTCGCTTCGTCATCAAATTACAAAATCACCCCAAGTCTGCACCCAAAATCATAAACAGGATGTGGCAAATACGAGCAGTGAATTTACATTTCCACCCCAACAATTTTGAAAATAATCACCCAAAACCTCCAAATTTCGGCTTCTCCTGCTTCTGGATCACAAAAATAGCTCGAACGCTAATTTAAGGGAACAGGTCAGAGTGCGGTGAGACTTCATATTCGTGCTAAAGTCATTCGCTTCGGATTATATTTTGAACCAATCTCCGAAAAAGAAATAAATCAGAAACCGAGAGAAAAGTTGTAAGTTCACTTCAGTGCTTGCTCGTGCTCATAGTCAGAGACTAAATTCCCAAAGTTTCGATTTCCTGGCAGCCGTAATCCCAGAGTCGTTAACCGAAACATACAAAAACAGAAAGACATGAGAACTTCCTCTCATCCAGGTCCTGAGAATCCAGAACTTCTTGTCGTAACGGCGTGTCCTGTAGGTAGCATTTTCCCCTCTCGCACTTTTTATGTTTTTGCGGTACAACGTAGTTGCGGTGCGAAAGTAAGCAAGCACATACGCTGTGACGACTCTCTGTCTGTGTTTGTGTATTTGTTTGTTTGTGTGGAGGTTCGTCTGTTTGGGTATTTCAACTCAGTTAAAAAGCATCTTTTGCTGAGACAGATTTTGAACCTGGGACTAATGTAATAATTTCAAAAGGTTTCCAAAAATTCATCCATTAAAATCTTGAGTGAAATGCAAATAAGAAAGCTTCAAGAACTTGTCAAGCTTTATCATGCTGAGAGCCAGCGAGTCTCGAAGTCCTCGGCGGAATGCGCAAAAAACGACTAGTAAAGCATTCTTTGAGCATTGGCTGTTTGGCGGATGTGCTGGGTTTTTTGGAAACGCACAGTGCTATGATGAATTGTCAGCAGAAAAAAGTCGTTGTTTATTTGGCAGTGACTTAATGACGAATAATTTAAATTTGTCAATTTGACTTCACTCTCTTAGTTCTGTTGCTTGGGATGACGCGAAAACAGGCTTGGCCTAAGATGAATGAAGAGCACTGGATTGGGGACGCACAAAGGACGAGCATGTATAATGTCTAAACAAATTTATCATTTCACAGAAAAGGAAACAGCACAAACACAGCACATTTATATTTGCACATGACAAATTCTTTCTCATGCTGGTAACAGAATTTCTGTTGCACTCAAACAGTGAAGACCGATGGCGTCTATTTGAGAGTTAGCTATTGTTTCGTCAAATTTTGGCTCTCTTCTCATAAATACATTAAAAAATTTTTAAAGTACTGGTCACCTAGATTCTGATGTGCACGAAGAAAAGCCACTCGCCCACTAGCCACTGGACAATTTGCGGAAAATGTGTCAATATTTATATCCGTGGAAACGAAGCGAATAAGCTGGCCCTACACGGAAGGCCAGTCACTAATTATCCGCACTTTTCCGATAATCTTAAAGTAGTGAATACTGCTTTCTGCGCATGCATGTCATTGTCGTTCCATTATTGAATCCCTGACCTTCATCACTCCAATTACCTCTGCTCTTTCTCTCTCTTTGTACAAGAAAATACGGCTCTGTGCCAGTTCCTCTTCTCATTCCAAACAGATTCAAACGTTGCAGTGCAAATTTATAGATAAATCCTGGAAATCCTGAAAATGACGCTTTCAGAGTTAAAATATGTATTAACGGTTGATGTTATGAGAAGTCAAAGTTGTGAATTGATTCTTTAAGGCTCTGGTACTGCAACTATTCCAACTACCTTTTTAAAGAAGGAAGAGTTGTGACAAGTGGCAAACAGTGACTGGCATTTCCCGAAATAGAAAATAGGCCGATTACACAACTAAAAACGCACGGGTAGACCAAGTTGATAGACAAGTGGGAATAACGCATGAGGATGTTCCCGCTTCACACTACGGAGAAAAACGCCCGGTGCGCGTGGTACTGTTGTCGTGCAGTAATTCGACGGTTCCTCTCTCCCGGTGGGACAATCAGTGGGACAGCCAGTTTCTCAACGATTCGTTTATTTACTTCGGTGGTAATTTAGTACTGGCATATGTCAGGCACAAAAGCCATCTGCCATCGACAGCTTTACAAGCTTGTAATTGCTGTTGGCATTTGTTACCAGTCGTGGTACCGTCCAGTGCCCCCTTTTACGCGTTTTTACCATGCAGTTTGACAAAGCGCTGCAACAGGCAGCAAAAATGCATATTGCGACAACCCTGTCTGCCTGAGTGGTCCACCTGTTCGGGTGTTTCTACTCGCCAACCACGCAAGCTTTGATGTTGAAATTTTGCCAGTGTGTTCCCTGGTAAAGTACGACCCCAGGGACGTGATGACAATTATTATGCACGCCTATGTTTTGCGTGTGGACACGCGAAAATTCTGGCAGGAAAGTCACCAACTCAGAAATAAGAAAAGCTAGCAAGCTGGAATTTAACGGAATGTTCCCTACTTATGTGAGACTGAAAGGTTTCAAATTCAGCACTTTAAAACAGCCCGGAACTCACGTACGGGCACGTGGAAGTTCTGGAGAGAAGACTGCCAATTCGAAAACGAGAGGAGCTAGGAAGTTGAAACTTTAGAGGAATGTTCACTACTCATGTACGACTAAATTTCACATTCAATTCCTCTGGTGGGGTCTTTTTCACGCACCAGCGACATTTCATTTGTGGGGTCAGTGAAGCTGACATCTACAACTGATATGCCACATAGCTGTACAATCAGCTTCCTGAACTTCAAAGGGCAGTATGTCACAAATTCTAGCTACTGTGATTCCTTGCGATCTTGCTACAGCACGAAATCGTGCAAAAACGCATGATCGCACGTAGTGCGCTCCAGCCTGAGTTCATTCTCGATTTCTAACACGAGCACGAATTTAGGCATAGGGAGACAGCCAGACTGCAGCGTATCTTAAAAAATATTTCATCTGCATTTAAGTCCTCAAGACCTTATCAGCGTACCTTTATCTGAAATTGCAACTCATATTACTAAATAAGGGAAATGTCGAAACTTAATTTTTGGTTTAAAGTCCCGCATGTGGCCCGAAAATTCTGGCTCTGCAATTTTCCAGAATTCGGAAAAGTCACACATACGCCCACACACAGAAACACGATAGGGCCAAAGTGCGTTTTCGTTCACATAAGTGCAAAAACACGCGAAACTTATTGTGGCAAAAACATGCAAACGCTTGTCCAAGTACGAGAACTAGAAAGGTGTCGGCGAGGCACGAAAAAAATTAACTTTCAAATTTCTCTGCACTTCAACCCTTGATCTCAGATCAAAAACCCGCGTATTAAGATAATAGGGAAAACGAAACTACAAAAACTTGAGATTTTATAAGATCAGTTCACCACGGAATGCGTTTTCGAGAACCTAAAATTATACCGAGTTTCTGATTTCAGCGTATTTTGAAACTACAGCCTTAGGTCTAAATTCAGGCTAATGCAATAACTATGGCATATGCACCAGGATTTCCAGTGCGAACATGCGTTCTTGTAGCTCGAAATTTGCTGTATCCCTGCGCGAGACACTAGCTTTTCGTGCTGCACAGAATCAAGCAGTATTCTCGTAAAATTTCAACTTCCCTGCTTGCCGAAAGAATACAATAAATGGCAGCGTTGCACTTTAAACACTTGATATGTCTGTGCGCGAGCAAAAGCCTTTTATACGCTTGGGGCCCTCGTATGAACAGCAAACATCCTCAGAAAATACTGCTTCCTGCTCATTCTGGTTAATAAGCCAGCCGAATGCCATTCAAACTAAATTTCTTTATGCGCACACGCAAGACCTAGGTGGGATTTAAACATGAATTTGAAATATCTGAGTCGCACATAGGCGTAGAAATACCTGCGTAAAATTTCAACTTTCTAGCTTGACTGGTTCACGAAGTCACTTTCCGTTAGAAATATGTTTGACGTTTCCAAAAACATGACGCGGTACACGCCAAAGCCTGTTTTACGTCTGCATATGGCAAACAGATACGTTGGTTTCCGAGTTAGCACTTTGCCAAGAAAGTGCAGATTTTAAGTTTGACGTATCAATACGAATAGCTTAGACTTCTGTGATAGCAGCATCTGAAGTTTCCAGCTTATATAAGGAATAACAACACCTCTGCGAGATTTCAGTTTCCTATCTTGTCAGGTTCCCGATATTATTTTTTCGCCGAAAGAGTTACATACTTTCTTTTCGGGGTACGTATGCGAACAATAATATTAAAATGAAGGGTCTTAGGGTAGGAACAAGTACCTACTTGTTCAAAAAATTTCAGCTTTATAGCTTCTCTGGTTGCTGAGTTAAAAGTGGGTGACAAAATGAGAACAAATGGACACGCGGACACACATGGACACGAACACATACACATGAACACGAACACACACACACACACAAACACACGGACACACACACACACATGTACACAACTTTATGCATAAACAAACATATGCACATAATCTCTTGCCAATATGTGTTTTTGCATCTGCATAAATTTGCGAAAATGCATAAAAGTTGAAATTTCAGTGATTCCTATTTATCATATGTATATAACAGTTCATCCGTTGTCCTTCCACTGCTAGCTGCATGGCCCTTGCATCGCTTCACTGCCTAATTTCAGAACCACTGGGTGTAATAAATTCGTTGGACTTCAAATCTTCGTTCAGTTTCGGAGGTGCTTACTGTCAATCCGAAAAATTCTCCCAACAAATAGGCGACAATACAACAGCAGATATGTTAACGTGGTTTGGTAAAGTGTTTTTTGTGGACACAAATAGACCAATGCATTGGCTTTAGTTTCTCGTGAGTTCTTCGAGCGGTTGTAAGTCACAGAAATTTTGAGCTAATGAAGCTTGCGCTATCTCATAGCTGCTGCGGCGAATTCGAGTCTCAATTCAGATAGCTGAACAATGCCTGGTGGGGGAGATGATTTTTTAAATTATTTCTTCTGTTATTCATGTCGCGCTTTGAACTTTTAAAATCTAAGTCCCCAAAATCAGCCTTTTAGTCTCAATTCGAACGAACGTAGTAATGCAGGACTAAGAATTAATTTGAAATTATTCTTCGTCCAAATCCGCCCCTCACTTTTCTTCCATCTCCGATTTCTCTCTACTTTCCGGTAAAAAAAGGCATAGCTTGCAGTTTTTCCGTTTTCAGATACGATGCTAACTTGAACTTGGAGTGTGAAATCACAGGTAAAAACAAAGCAACCTTAGTCTTACAAGCCTTATTTGTGTATAGCAGGAAACTGTGCTTCCAAAAACCCCAGCTTCGATAGCTCTCAACCCAAACTGTTCAGAGCGAGACACACACACACACACATACAAAGCATTTTTTGTGCAGGGATTTACTGAATACACAAAATGATCGCTGGCAGTGAGAAAACTGCGCTTGCATTTACATGTTTTTTTTGTCTTAGGATGCGGGAAAGCAGTTCCAGCGAAGCAGGTAGAGAGAGGATGGGAACAAAACCGTGCTGGCACTGCAAGCCAAACAATACTGAATTACTGCTTTTTGCTTGACCAGCCCCAAACGGTCAGTGAAAAAAACCACCTGAAAAGCAATGCCCCTACGTCATGCAGTCGCAGCATCTGCTGTGGACAGCGAATCTTTCGGCCAAACGGTTTTTATTCAGTCCCACTAAGGTTGTTGAATGAACGAGCGTTCTGCCTTTGTGAAAAGCACTGGTACAAATCGCATGTGCATGAAAAGGCCTAGAATTTCCTGAACCAATGCTGCGTGTAAGTCTTGTCAGGACTAGCAATGAAGCCCGAAGCGCGTCCAGGATACTTGCGAGACAATGATCCAAAGCAAAAATGCAAGGGCAATTTCAGTTACTGTGTTGCGAAGTATTGTTTTTCGGTGAGTGCAGCTGCCCTTCGAGGGCAACAGCCCTACTTTTTTTTCGCTTCTTCAAAACGCCTAACATTCGAGAAACAAACATTTTCTGGCGCGCATGCGCCGCTTATTTCTTGTCTTAGAATTCAGAATTGCTTAATTTAAAAAACAAAAAAAAAAAAAAAA